TCCAATAATTTCCGAGTTTATTCGATGCAAACAAGCCAACAATGAAATCTTTCCTCTTTATAAAATTATTATAAATAGTACCTCTGATCAAAGGGAAAAGGTTAATGAGGACGTTTCAAAATTATTTATTTAAAACAGTCGTCTGTATATACAGTAAACTATATAGTTGATGTGTATCTATGTCTATATTTAGATATATTTTGAATTTGCACATTACTTATGCTTGTTGACATTACAACCTATTTATGTGTGAAGTCCTTTCACTTAGTTACTTGCGTATGTTGTGTAAAAAAATAAGTGCTTACTTTGAGAGAGGACACGCTTAGCCCTCACAAATATTAGCACTAGTATATATGTAAGACATAAGCAACTAAGCTCCACAAAATGAAATTGAGAACAAACTCATTTAATTCTCAGTTTAGCCTAAAACATAATATTTTTCAATATTTTTTTTTTTGACTATTTCTTCAACTTAAGTAGTAAGTATATCATATATTATTATGTTTTTAAATTATATGAATTATCCAAGTCGTGTTTTGCAACAAATCGTAATAAAAAGGCTATAACTCCTTGCTTTGTTAAAGTCAATAAAAATACGAGGAATTCTCAGTATTTGTTTCAAAATAAGTCTTTCATATACAACACCTATATAATATCACAAAGTAGCTTCTATGGAGTTTTAGTCACCATAATATTGTAACTCGTCAGACCCGGCATTATGTTCACTAATTGTAATTTCACGTGACAGTTAACTTGAACATTAGTTCAAGCAACCTTGAAAGCTATATTATAAACAGTGACAGACATTATGTCATTTGAGAAACTACGTAGTATAAAATCATTTTATGGTAGATACTATTGATATATTGTTACAGAAGCTAACACTACATTATTATTTTATTTTAACAATTTTGCATTCACAATGGTATACTGAAAAATATTGTTAATGAAAAATACCTAACAAATCGACTTAGTCCTTGGCACTCTGACATGGGATTCGAACCCATGACCTTTCGCAATCCGGGCGCTTGTTATAACCACTGAGCCAAGGACTTAATGAATGACTGACGAATAACAAATAAAGGACTGGCAAATTTTTCAAGCACTTGTAACTTTTTCGCTACTACAGAGAGTATTTTCATCAATGTTCAGGCAATCAACCCAATTAGCCGAAAGAAATATTTTTACAAATATTTAAACTTTCGATAAAAATGTAAATTTGTTCTAATTATTATATTTTATCAATGTTCGCGATACTGAACTAACAACACGTGATAGCATCAAATTTTATTAACTTAATTTTATTTAAAAAAAAGATAAAAAGCGAAGTGTAATATTATTTTATTATAAGAGAATGAACCGTAAGTTATAAAACTTTCTTTTTTCAAGTAATTTCTTAAGTATCTCTGTTTTAATTTTTTTTAAACGATCAATGTACTAACAAATGCAAGATGTATTATGCGTCGAGCGTAGAAATCCAAAACCAAAACAAGTAATAAGTTTTGTAATAACATAGAATTGCAACTCTTTTGACGGTGGTCTAACAGTGTAATATAAACAGAACATTATTTTAGAATACTGGGTGGGGTATTGGTAGTATGCAGTCTCTACAGTCATCGCAACTTAATAGGACTCGCCACCAATATATGTTTTTAGTATCATCTAAAATATAGCTGAATATATATTATACTTTAGCGCTATTGCAAAATGAAAGCCAAGTAAATCTCAATGATTAACCTAGATCAAGACGCGTCTGGCCCGTGGATTATCTCAAATATGACGAGCTGCGCAGTAGTATTCTTTTGTACACCTTGCGCCTCACCGACCATTAGTTTTTATTTGCGCTTCATTGTTCGGGGGACACAGCTACGCCGGCAGGAAATTATTCTCCATTATAACATAACTTGTGATGTCATTCAACGGTAATGCACGCTAAGCTCGCGCTTTCAGAAATCCGTTAGTTGTTAGAGTAATAGCAGGGTGCTATATAATTTGAGACCGCTTTTTGTTCGTTTATTATAATATGAGATATTTGTTGTTTTAATACAAATATAGCGTTCAAGGCTCAGATTATATACAGCAAAAGTTATATTTAAAGGATCTTATTGTATTTTGTCTGTCGTTTATTAGAAACAAAGATGAGAGGGAGTTATTTATGAAAGAATTTAAATTCATTGTTTTAGATATTGGATTGATTCGAACTATTGTAGCTGTGCCTAAGTCTATCATTACACAAAAATATGTTATTTACTTACAGTTGTAAGATAATACTTAGTACATGTTGTTAAAAATGATTTAGTGAAATATCTTCATAGGATTAGGTAATTAAGTTTTAATAATTAAGTATGATATGATGGGGTTGCCATGTTCAAAAGGTTAAAAACTCTTCTTTTGATAATTCGCTGCATTTTGCTTTTATACAAAATTTCAATTCAAATTACCGCTCACGCGTTAAAACCGTATGTAGAGTTAGCTAGTACTTAGTTTTTTCCTACCTGTAGATTACTAACCAATAATTTTGAGAATTCATACGCGTATTTATACATCAAAATTAATATTTTAATTTTTATTTCATCAATATTTCCATGTCAAATCAGTTATTTCCCAGTTACGTCTTAAGTTAATAAAAGTCACAGACCTCAAAAATGCCGTATCTTAACATAACTTTTGTACTAAATCAGAAAGAAATAACCAATTGACTGTCCTCAAACGGACGTAATTGCTTTTTCGTTTTATTATATCGTAAATAACGGAACAAACTTACACGTTCACGTTACATACAGTGTCTTGAAGTTCGGGCGTAACTCTTGGAATTTAACGGTGTTAATAAGAGGTCCTAACTTTTCTCAACATATATTTAAATAGCACACTATCTTTTTCATCAGTGTTTTCGACAACCTTATTATTAAATTTCATAAGAGATGGCCTTTTAATATGAAAAACCCACAAAAGACTTCATAAAAATGGCAAAATATAGCCATAACGCATTATTAACGCGACTCAAGCCGAGTTTTAGAAAACGACTAATAAAAATACTAAAATAATTTTCTCAAAAGAACGGAACCCAGACTAGCGTAATTTTTAAAACAAAAAACAGTGTAGTCACTTAATAAGACCATAATGAAAAAAACATAGCACTAATTTACATTTTAAACACAGACAATAGAAAATTCCTATCTTTAAAACTCACTAAGCGATAAATAATACTATTAATGAAGGTACATAATCAATTTTCTACAAACAATAACGTAGAATAGGTATTGCAATGACAATATGTAGGATGATAATAATACCATTATTAAGATTATTAGTATATACTCGTATATTTTTTTATTTTACCAATCTCAAAGCGTATACAAAGAATTTGCTGTTTTAATTACCTTAAAGTTTTTATTTTGTTTTTATAGAGCTTTTCTTCGTTAAAGTAATGTTTTTTTTTTGCAACATTGTGAACATGAAAGTGAGAAACTATTTATTCACTGAAATAATATGGTTTGTAAGCAACAAACAAAAAAATATTCTGTGAATTTAGATTGTCAGTACAAAAAAGTTACTGCGTCTATTTTATTTCATTTTACATGCATCCATCAATCAGTTCAAAAACCCCAAAATCGGTTAGGATATCGAACATAAACTTTTTAATAACAACATAAGATAAATATGACGACAAAGATTATACTGTTACTGTATTTAAATAGTAGAGATAGGTAAGTACCTTCTATCTTATACGTTTTCTGGAAAATTTTTGAAGAAAACTAAAACATATGTTATACAGGAATATTACAGGAAAATATTATGACAAAATAGTGCAACATTACAATGGTTTAAACTTTTAAACCTTACTTGTTACAACAACAAATTTGATTCTGAGATAAAAACTTTTACTTGTGTGGCAAATTGTGAATGGATCATATTCTTTAAATATTCTACTATTGGGATGTAAACTTATTGAGTATTTTATCTGTTTGTTTATTAGTTTGAGAATTTGTCGTAAGCATCTAGTTTACAAAATATAACTAAGGTATTATATATCATAACATGGTTAAGTTTGATTTTAGTTACTCCCGAACCGTGGTGTATCTGATACAATTTATTTATTCAGTTACCGTGTAACTTTTGTTTTTTTTTAAACACAGAGTATTCACTGCACAGGCGCATTACACTAAAACGTGATATATTAAAAATAAAGCAATATTTTATTAAAGTTTACTCACCCATGTACAGTTTTCATTGTGTATATTACCTTTGAACACGTCATGGAATTATTTTCAACGATGCAAGCTTTTAGTGAAAGTATATTTTTGTTAAACATTACCTTTCCGAACAACAGGTAATGCCGTTAATGGAAAGGCATTAGCTGCTTTCTGATCTAATGTTAATGTTGCTTATGAGGCGTTCTCACGATCTGATTTTGGTTGAACGGACAGTAAATCAATTGCGATTCTCATAATCTGAAAGATTTGTTAGGAAATTGATGTAATAAAGTAAATTTATAATATTTGTGAGTACCGAAAAAAAAATCGAGCAAGAAGAGAAATTCTCATTAGTATATTTTCTTAAATAAACAGTTTCAGCTAGACTGTAATTGTGTTTGTTAATTCTATTTTCAAGGTTTTATTTTTTAATGGTTATTAACTGAAGTTTCAGGAATAATTGAATATGATTTTTGTAATTTCAATTTAAACCAGATTGATAAATTATTATATATTTAAAATTAAAATGTAGTATTAAATTCTATTTAACATATGATTTCTTAATAATTCGTAAACGTGCCAAAATAATTTGAAAACAAAAATTGCCGTTTTCTGAGAATTCTAAAATGGTTCACTATTTTATTGTTAGGAATTTAGCTAAAAAATAATTAAGGTTTACAATGATAACTCCGGTTATTAACACAGAAAGTAGAACATCGTGTTTGGAAATATTACTCAGGGGAATGTGCTACGAATATCACATATTATGTCACGTCATATACCTAAACAGAAGCCGTAATACACGGTATGCAATTTATGAATAATGGTGGTATAGGTATATTCATCGTATATTATCGTACGTACGTATTTTTGGTTATGAGATAGGATATTTCGTTACAACTTTTTCTATACCATAACCCTATTTTTCTGCCATTAATAAAAAGAATTATAGTGGAAATATTTATCTGAGATATTTGTTTTGTGCAGTACGTCCTCTCCTGGTGGAGATACTTGCCAGAGAGCAACCTTTGTCAGTTGGACAACAAGCAGAGATCTCTTGCAGAGCGGTTGGCTCAAGACCACCCGCCGTTATATCATGGTGGTTGGATGATAAACCTCTCACCTCTCACACACAAAAGGTAAAGATTACTAAAATGGGACCTATATTGTATCCTTATGGTATGCCAAAAAGTGGCCACTAAATTCAGCATAACACAAACAAATGTATTTCTGTTTGAAAAGGTATGAAAACATGTCAGCCGATTTATACGCAATTTTATTTTGTAATAATTGTTTTGATACTATTTTCGCATTTCCAATAAGAAGTTGAACATTTTATGGGAGTAGAGAAAGATTTCAGAATTACTTTCGACTTGAAATGGACACTGATACTTGAACAAGAAAGTTCTTGTTAACTCGTCAAAGCTGTCCTCTGTATTTTCTTGTTAAATCTACAGATCAAATTGTATGGTATCTACAGAAAAAATCTCTCAAAGGAATATTCAAAAAGACTATTATACTGTCAGTACTTAAAACAGCCTTCTTTAATATTTTTACATTCTCGCCAGATTCCTCAAAAAAAAAAAAACAGGTACTACAACAGATCGAGAATCTTTATTTTAAAAGTCTTTTACTTTTGACTTCAAACGGAAGTTAGTTCCCCAATAAAACATTCAAGACACGACTCTTTTAATTAATAAATTTAACGATCATTTTTAAAGAAATAATACTAACAAAACTACTATCTTAGAATTGTTTCCAGTTCGTAACCGATGGCTATGAACTGGAGAATATATTGTTACTATCTATATAATCATATTTATTTCGCCTGAAATTATTCGAATAAAATATTTCTACTGAAATTTTAAACTTAAGAGATAAAACAATATGTCTTACAATTATTAAAGTAACGTTTGTGTTCTTGTTGTCTTCAGAATTCTGACGATCGGAACGAAACGGTATCGCTTCTTCGTTGGACTCCTCAAATGGAGCACGATGGTCGTATTCTGACCTGCAAAGCTACACACGTCAAATTGGAACATTCGACGTTAGAGTCCACACTGTCACTCAATTTGCACTGTGAGTAACTTCATACTTTATAATTTGTAAAACAATAAACTAATAATTATGTATTAGTTAAATAATCTTGCCAATATTTCTAGACATGTTAAATATTTGGAATAAATTATTACACATCACATACGAATCCCAAAGAAGTAGTTAATAGCACTTGTATGTTATCGAACGGACGTTTCAGAGAAACATACCCAAAACAATAAGCAAAACTTATTTTGCGGGACATCATATATACTTATTGAATAAGTTTTCATCTGAAATCTATTTTTTTAAGAAATATTAACATTATAATTACAAGTGATTAGTAGTTATCGTTAAATCAAGTATTTATTTAAGGCGCACAATCACAGCGCTTTTAATATTTACCATTATCTTTCATATAAAAATAGAAAAGAAAAATGTTATTCTAACAAATAACAAAAAACTATTCTTGTTTCTTCAAACAGATGTGCCAATAGTGGCCCTTGAACTGGGCTCTAAGTTGAATCCGAATGACATAGAAGAGGGAGACGACGTCTACTTTGAATGCGTGGTGCGTGCCAACCCACCCGCCTACAAAGTCGTTTGGGAGCACAACGTGAGTTTCTTGGAATATTACTTTTATTTATAGAGTAAACTCTTTTGCCTCATTTGACGATAATCCTTGCTTTATACATTTGGAAAATTTACGAGTTCATCTAAAATAAAATTTTATTTTATTATTTCTATTAATAAATAAAAAATAATGCTTTAATTTACTTAATGTTTTTTATGGAATTAGAATTATGGAATCTTTTGTAATGAAATATTTATAAAATGACGTTAATCTACAAAACAGTTGCTAGTTTCAAAAATCGAACTTACGGATATGAACTCCTTGATATTTCTTTTAAAGTAACGTTGAAGTTTATAGGATAATATAAAGTACTTATATTTAGACAGAAATAGTCGTTGTTTTTCTACATTTACATTTCTCTCAGACTCATTATTTCAAACAACGTGGTAATTTACACAATTTTCTGATTAAATTTGTGTTTACAGGGCCAAATAATGACTCACAATCAGCGAGCTGGTGTAATCGCTGGATCAGCGCATCTTGCACTGCAAGGGGTGTCGCGAGAGCAGGCAGGAAAATATGTCTGCACCGCTTCTAACGTTGAAGGAGACGGAAAATCCCCACCGGTTAATTTGCAGGTTATATGTAAGTATAGTTAAGAATACGTAATTTTAATACCTACATTACAACACAAGCTTTAATATGCCATTTTTAGGGGATTGTTCCGTATTCACCTTATGACGTCTCATCCTATTTCTTCACTCATCCCAAACTCTGTATTTCTAACTCAACCTATAAATATTTTTGTTAATTCATCCCCAGCGCGTATTTCTAAAAAGTATGGAAAGCAAAACAACGTTTAATATTTTTAATGAAATATTATTATGTATACGATATAAAGTATTTTTTTTTTTATAAAATATGTACTTACTTAATCATTATCAGTCTCTTAATGTCCCCACAACTAGGGCACAGATCTTCCCGATGGATGGAAAATAATCAATGAATAAGAATAATGGTGCCGTACAGATTGGTACTCAGGGGAAATCTGGAGACAGGCAGTAGGAGATGTTCCTAATGTTAGGTCCTTACATATGAAATTGGTGTTTATTTAGTATGGGAGGAACAAAAAGACGAATATTTTTTTGATATAATATATTTATTTAATCAAATTATAAACCATTGTTGTCTATGCACTTTTGCCGTTTTATAGGTAGTTCATTGATTCCTTTACAAAAAAAACCATTCGGACGGGAATAATAAAATCTTTGAAGGCGATTTGCACTGCCCCATCGGAGTTGATCTTTTTCCCTTGCAAGAAGTTATCCAAATTTGGAAAAAAAATCTGTTGGATTGATTGAAAATGGTAATCTGTTGGAGCAAGGTCCGGGGAGTACGGTAGATTTTATAGACATTCCAATTGAAGCTCTTTTAATTTGGTAGCCGTCTGTTGTGCAGTGTGCCGCCTGTCGTGAAGTAGCAGTGGCGTAAAGCGATTGACCAGCCACGGTTGTTTAACAGCTAGTTTTTCCAGCATGGTTTGCAATTGGTGACAGGTCTGCCGTAATCGTCTGGCCAGATTTGAGAAAAGCGTAATGACCGACACTGGCACTAGTTCACCAAACGCTTACAAGTAACTTTTTGAAGTCAATTTTCAGGATTTAGCTGGCATGCCAGGCTCCAACCATTGCGATGAGTGCTTCCGATTATCGTAGAGAATCCACTTTTCATCACAGGTAATGATTCGATTTAAAAACCCTTCAATATTGTGCCGGTTAAGTAATGTAACACAGCAGTCAAAGTGCGTTTGCCGGTTTATCTTACGAATCAAATACATGTGTAAATGGCTGCATAAATTTGAATTAGGAATTCCCAACCAAGGAGGAGAAATTTGTGATAAAAGTGGCCAGTACGAAAAACGACAATTTCATATATAAGGACCTAATAAATAAATTAGTGCGCTAAGTGTCTTCTTTTGCTGAATTTTAAGACATGATATATATCTTTCGCATTATTTTTTGTCTTTTGTTTTATTTTCCTCTTCTAATATATATGGTATGATATATAATATTTATGGTTTTTTGTTGCGTATATATATATATATATTGTCTCCTACCATAAATAAGAAAAAAATTGTTATCACGGCATAATTTTTTTCATATAATTTATTGGTATAAATATTTTTAATGTGTTTTGGTAAACACATTAAAAATATTTTTTTAGTAAAGCTAAATAATTTTATCTTAAAGTTTGTTAACATTTATATGTTTATTTTTGTAGGTATATCGACACCGGTCATCGGTCTCTTTAAGATATCCGTAAAAATTATGACGCCGCTATGAATTGTCATATTATAACTACCATGTTAATAACATTCTTCTTAGTCGTGCACACTTGACAGAGTGGTCTTGTTATATCGAGGTTGAGTCCTGCGTTACGTCACCTTGTGGCGAGATGAGCGCAATAATTTAGCTGGAGAGCATTATAGACTTTATGAGGTTTGTCCAACATGTTAGTGAGCGCCCGCGGAGTCTTTTACCCTCAACTCTTCCCTATACCGTCTGTCGATCTATATAGTTCTCCTTGCGGGTGATATGCAGGAAGATCTTAATAATAATAACATAAAAACTACCGAATCTTTAAATCAGTAGGTAAATTTATATATCTCACCTTTAAAATTAGTTATTAATTTATGGCCCCGAAAACAGAGGAAATGCTAATTTCAATGCAGAGCGGTTATACTAATCATAAAAAAAAAAATTGACCCGTAAAAAGGTAAATGTTCAATTTTGATAAATTTGAAAACAAAAAGAGAACATTTCAGCTAACATCCAAGACGAAATTACACGTACAAAAATTAACCGAATTTCGCATACATTACATGTTTCGTATTAACATAAACGAGCCATAATGTATTTTTGTAGGGCGCCACTTTGAAGCTAAAATTACAGGTCGAATGGTTAAATTTAACGGAACAAGCTGCCGCTCTTGATAACGGCCGGAGGTTAATTTCGGGTTATACATCACGAGATTATCCCATATGTTATCGTCAATATTGATGGTGGGGCCATTGTGAACGTAATTCACTATTTAGCTTTTCCTTTCATTCTTAGGTTGTAATATAACAAAAATATTTTATTATATTCATTGTTGTTACCTTTTTACAGCTAAAATGCTGGGTCTATTTTAGTATTAATTTTCCCTGAAATATCAATAAAATGACCCTAGTTAACGTAAACAATTTCTCAAATAAATGAAATAATAATTATAATTATTCGTATTTGAGGTTCAGTTTAATTAGAGTTTAGAAATTCGTGCGTAAACAACTAGTATGATTTGAACAATATCGTATACATAGAATTGCTTTAAATAATTGTTTTGTCAAATTGAGTAATAATTTAAACATATCATTGTCATTATCTTTAAACATACAGTTATATATGATATTCTATTCTATCTGTAATGGAACGAAAATTAAAACAATGAATATTACCACACATATCATTTAACTATAAACTATTGATAAATGTATTTTATTGTTTTTCATTTCAATTACGACACCGAATCGGAGTCTTTAGTATCTTATTTTACTTTCACACCAATGAATTTTTAATATTTACATTAATTATTAAAAAACTTTAAAATTTAAAAAAAGCGTTAAATTGACACATCTCGTAAATATCTCATTTAGCACAGAAAATCATGAATTGTATTATTAGTATTGAAAGCACAAGCTATAGGTATCTCCTTGAATTAACTCTGCTGTTTATCGTCTGTATTATTGAATACAATGTGAATTAATCAATGTAATAGCAGTTTGTGTGCATTAATGTGCTATGACAATAGCTTGAGTAAACTACTCAACAATAAGGACGACGAATTCAATCATCATAATAAACAATAATTCTAATTGACTTTCTTCTGATATATTTAGCGCTCATTATAAATCAAGGTTAAATTTTGTTATTGAAAAATGCTTAGAAACCCACTTTGTCCCTGGCACTCTGAGATGGGACTCGAAGCCGTGAACTTTCGCAATTCAGGCGCCTGCTCTAATTACTGAGCTACCGAGGACCTAATAGGACTGACAAATTTTTCAAGCACTTGTTACTTTTAATACTACTGAACGTATTTTCATAAATGTTCAGACAATTCACCCAAATAGACGAAAGAAGTATTTTTACAAATATTTATACATTAAAAGTGGATTTATAAGCATTTTTTTCAATATAGTATTGTGAATTTCAAATTGATAAAATATTGATTTAATATAAAATGCGTCGTGCGTGTTTGATATATATTTAAAAAAAATGTGCAATTGTCAACCCAAGAACGGGTTGTCCGATTTTAATTTTGAAGTGGTCATCGTAGTCCAGGGAAGGTTTATACATGTGAGGACATTAGGTCATTTAGTTTTAAATAATTTAGATTTTTTTAACACTGACCAATGATGTTTCCCAGGCTGTTTTTGAATATTTTTTTACATAGAAGTTGGAGAGGATAATCTGGCAAAATCGTCTTACTTGTCTGGAAAAATAAATGAGACGCCTTATTACAAACTAATAGGTGTACCGAGACAAAGTACGAAACTTGTGAATGCCCTGCCTGTTGAAAAAGTTTTTACAAATATTATATAATTCTATAAATACATGTTGTGTTAAATCGGTACATGTACATGTGAATTACGGCTTCTGATCTAACCTTCCAATAGAATACGATCAATTTAATAGTCCTTTCACTTTTGCATTTTAATATCACACCGCCTTTTTTTCATCTGGAATTTTGGCCACATATACGAACTAATGGGAAACGCTGAATTGACTGAACTCTTTTTTTTTGCCCGATGTAGTCTACTTATTTATTTAGTACACCAACGCTTGTTAGATTAATGTGATATTACAGGTGTACATCAAATAAAAACAGAAACAATAATTTACTTAGCATGCAGTTCATACAATTTCACTATAACAAAAACAATTAGGCAACGGTTACAAATAAATAACGTTTGAAAAACAAGGAGAACAATATAAAAGACTCACGGCTGGTTTCTGAATTGAGAAAAGCACAAAACCTTAACTGATTATTCTCAATAACTTGAGTTTTTGACGTTTCATATGGCAAAAAGTCCTAGTTTTATCAAACTGCTATCAACTGATCATTAAAAAATATAAATCAGTAATGAATACCTGTTTAAAATGGCTTAAGCATGGTTTGAGACGTGCTCAACTTGAAATTCTCAATTCAGAAACCGGGTGTCAGACGTTGACTATTTTGCCTATGTTGAATATTATCAAGTGGACTTTCTGGTCTAGGGTAGTGACGCTGGCAAAATAATTTCTCATTAAAAGGAGTGAGCTCTCTGTAATAATAAACAACTTATTTTCAAAACAGTTTTGTAACCCGTAGCGGTCTTTAAAAGGTTTTACTACAGTTTCAAATATTTCAAAGCGTATTATTACTAGTATTTAGACAAAGGAATGAAGCAGTTACTAGCAAAAAGAATTTCAGCTCGCTTTTCGGAAAGGCAAAATGTTTCTGCATTCTTGTAGTATTTAAGTGTTTTCGAAACGTTTTTATTCTTTCAATACAACCACAGTTTACTTAATTTTCCAAAATGATCTAATAAAATAATGTCGTTCTGTCATACATATGTTCAATATTTTATAGTTTTTTCGTCAGATGAATTGAAGATTATATCTTCGTTATGCTAAACAAACTTCCTTTTACTTCCTTTTTCCATATTTAACTTCTTTTTCGTATTGAAATTAGCATAACGTTATGTATAGCAAGCTGCACTTTCTAGATCAAGAATTTGCTTACAAGAAGATTTCTTAATACTCTATTCACACTACATCCACTCTTCTTCCTAATTCAATGACGTATCTTCTTTAACCAACTTAAAATCAAATAAAAGGATGTTATATATTCGACGGCGTTGTATTTTATTTTGACCTATATTCATCTTACTGTATTAATAACGAACATGAATAAATTTATATGACATTGATTTTTCACAATTGCTTTGCAAAACGTCAGTAACTTGCTTGATTGTATGAAACTATAACAGATAGTGCACGCAATAGTCCGTTCGCTTTTAAGCTTTGTGCATAGAATCAAAGTCGATCCCACTGTATTGCATACATTTGCACGTAACTTAACACGTTCCGTCGCAACCCAGTGCTATTCAATTTGTGTTTCCAGCGATCCGAAAACTGACGGTTTACAATTGTTTAACGTAGCCATTCTATTCGATATTCACTATCTAAACTTGAATTTAATTACAGGTTAAAGCTTTTGCTTTAAATATTGGAGGAATAACGGGGTGTCAAAAAGCAAATACTTGAAAATGTATTGAAATTTCGACCTACATAAAATTGAAAGAATACTTCTTTTCGTAACACTAGCCGTTTTTCCGCGACTTTGCCTGGGTAAATTATAACCTTTGCTACTAGTGTATGATGTAGCTTTCCGTTTGCAAAAAAATATAGTCCTGTAGTTTTGGAGCCTATTCAATGCAAGCAATCAAGTTTTTCTCTCTTCATAATATCAGTGTAGATAAATAATAATATTTATTTTTAATGAATTTTAAATACGGGGCCCCTTTTGAGGGGTAAATTAGAAAAATAATACCAAACTTATAAAACTTGTTTATAAAATATATATAGTCTGCAATGCCTAAGTTTCTTACCGTCTCTTCTCAGTACCAAATCTCCCGCCGTAATTTTGTGGTGGCGTAGTTTTTGACTTCCACAAGTGCTATGTATAAACCTAGACTGAATAAACGATTTCGATTTGATTTAATTTGCTGGGAAAAAATATGCTGGACCGTACCAATTTTGCGGCTGGATTCTGAATTTAAAAATTATAACAATCACTTAAGTTTTTTACATTTTACAAAGCAAAAAAAAAACTCAAGTTTAACCAAACTGCTATTAACTGATAATTAAAATAACTAAAATCAGAAACGAAAATCTGTATAAGTGAAGCTTTAGTACAGTTTGAGACATGTTTAACTTTCAATTCGAATTCAGAAACTGGGTGACACTCAAGTTAAATTAAACGTTGTGCTACAAAACATTTTTCTATTACCTCTGTGTAGATGAGTATTTTTTTTAAACTAATTTTCAATTAAACCATTGTCCTAGGTGCAATACCAATCAAGATAGAGCAGGTTTCCCTAATTTATATGGTTTGCAGAAAGTTTAAATTTGTAAGTTTTTTTCTCATTTTGTAAATATTTTCTCAAGCTTATATTGAAACCATTTTGAACTAGATAAACCTGTATGTACGAGCACTGTAACAGCTGTGGTGGGTGCTGCCATCAACGAGCCAGCAAAAGTAACGTGTGAAGTAGATGCATTCCCTCCACCCAAGAATTTCCAATGGACACTTAATAATTCCATGGGAACTGTGGAATTAGACGCGGTGAGTTTGCTTAATGTTTGAAATAATGTTAGTGTTTTGTTTCTAATATTTACATTTAAGTAGCTTGTAGGTACGCCATGCCGGTATTGATATTTGGTACCTCTGAGGCCCTAAATCAAAATTTTCTATTCTTTTGTATATTATCTCAGAACCGAAATAATTATTGTCACGTGCACGAAAATATTCTAGGTGAACCATTGGACTAATGATTTTAATCAAAATAAGTCTGTGACTTCTTCTTTTACGATTTTCACAATAAAAACTTCAGTTACTTATCTTTAATGAAAAATACTTCAGAAATAATGCTTCATAAATTCAAAAGGACTGAAGAATTTTTCAAGCACTTGTTACATTTCGTTAATAATATTCTCATCAATGTATTCTATTGGCATTGTAAATTCAAAATTAATCAAATGTAATAACTCAGTTACTCATAAAGAAAAATTCTTTATACTCTTATTTATTTATATTATTTATACTATTATTTATACTATTACACATATCAATTCAATGTTTATTTTGTTAACAGAGTAAATTCACCATCGATAGTGCAGGCCGTTCAATCCTCACATTTTTACCAAGTTCTGAAGCAGACTACGGCTCGCTATATTGTTGGGCTACCAACTTAGCTGGAAAGCAGATTGAACCCTGCAAGTATAGCCTATTACCAGCAGTCCGACCGGACCCACCGTTCAATTGCTCAACCGTGAATTTAACAGATGATGCTGCAGAATTGAGATGTGTCGCCGGTGAGTTAAATCAATTTATTGTGTTATTATACTGTAAAATTCGTCAGTCCTGTTAGGTCGTGGTTTGCTTAGTGGTTAGAGCAGTCGCCCGGATTGCAAAAGTTCATGGGTTCGAGTCCCATCTCAGAGTGCAGTGCCCAAGCATTTTTCAATAAGAATATTTTTCAGTATAGCATTGTCAAATGCAAAATTGATCTAATATAATAATCTTAAATGAGTCTTATAAGATTTGCTAAGATAAAAATATAAAAAAAAATTGCTCTATTATCATAAGCAAATGATGGCAACAAAATTTATCTCTGAATAAATACTTTATTGGATTTCTATAAGTACCTCGTTTTATCGTATAATGTTCTATATCACCCCAATAATCAGTTAACACTATTGATTAGGTTATGATGGCGGCCTTCTCACCATATACTTCGTAGAGGCATGGGAGTTGGGCACATTGATTGCCAACGTCTCTACACCTCACCCGGTATGGAAGCTAAGAGGACTAGGTTCAGGGAAAGCCTTAAAACTGGTGTTCTACGCTTTTAACGCCAGAGGCCGTTCTGACTCCACCACATTAAGAGTTCATACACTATCACGACTGGCTTTGCATACAGGTTTGTATTTTCAGGTGCATATTTTGTTTCATTTGCTTATGTCTTGGACTAGATGCGACGTTAAAAGCAGATATTTTATGGAAGTAATTGAATGATAAACAATAAAAATAGCTCTTGACAATAGTATCATATTGTACGCAAAGTTTTATCAACTTATTGTGGACGATAGTGTTTTTAGCTATTTGCGTATAATTGACGAGAATAAGATTAATTTACTATTACTGTCTGCCAATATTAACATGTTTTTTTCAAACGCTATTGATCAGTTTGTCACGTTACCAATACACTAAACTTAAGCCATTGAATATAAAGTCGTAGATTTGTTGAGCTTTGGCCTAAGTGTCAAATGAGATTATATATGATGATTATTTTATATATGATGAGTTTTTCATACTGTTTGTGTGTATATATATATAACGGTGGGTAGTCCGAAGGGGGCTATTACGAAGCCCAAATAGATCGTCCATATCGGAGGACTATCTTTAAAATAACACTGCAGGCGTGTATACCAACGTGGATTTGTTCCATTTTATCACTTTTCATACGAAAATATAACGAGATGAGCGTGATGTCATCAGATGTCTTTACTCCTCGGCGATCGGAAACAGAATGTGTGCCAAAATGGCGGCAACTTAGTTTTTATTAACGAACTGTCAAAGTCAGTGTCACCATTCTAATAAAATTAAGAGTATCGATGATCACGCTCTCTTTACAATCGAGTAATTAAGTAATCGAGTAACTAGCAATTAAAATAAAAGAAACTAAATCAAACGATCTTCGTAATGATGATGCGACACGGCCATTCTGGGAGACGGTGCGTGCTCTGCGCCAGTCGCGTTTCTGTAACAAAATACAAGAGCTTTTCTGAGCTAGGTATCTGTAAACCTAGTTATTTGGGAATTTTGATTTGAACAAGATTTCGGCCATCATTTTTTTTAAACATCAAATTCATTACCAACGGGTATTTTATCACAATTGTTATAAAAACTGTAGTTAAGTTAGCACATGTAACTTTCTAACGAATAGATTGTATAGGGAAATGAGCTGTTTTATTAAGTTTATTTGGTCAATGCAACTGCTCCACGCATACTTGCATGATTATTGTACTCGTAGCAAGGATGATGCTGTGGTCATGAGCGGTCCTGTACGCCGTGGTCCACAGAGGCTCTAAAGGAGATGGGGAAAAGGTCGATGCTGGGGTCTGGGTCTTACATATGACCGTGGTCTCCAGAGGCTCTAAAAGTTTTTTTTTTTATTATTTTTTTTTGTTATGTTTTTTTTTTGTTTGTTTTCCATTTTTGTTTTTTTTTTGCTCATTAGGTATTTGAGGCTGTGGTCATGAGCGGTCCTGTACGCCGTGGTCCACAGAGGCTCTAAAGGAAATGGGAAGGACGATCCTGGGGTCTGGGCCTTATTTATGACCGTAGTCCCCAGAGGCTCTGTGAAACGACTTAAAAGTTGGGAAGTTCATAGGATGGGATTTATACAGTCTTTTCATAAGAAATTTTTGATTGTTGAATTGAACTTTCATGAAAATGTTATCTCTCTATCAAACAGCCAGGAATATAGAGTGCCTAACAATACCACTAACCATTTACTAGGTATCTAATTGATGTGCAGCGCGGTAGATTCTTTTTTCGGTCAGTCCTGACTTTAACTAAAGTAAGAATTTGAAACCAATCGAAATTTTATTAATTAGAGACCGTTTTTACTGTAAGTTTCTTTAGTAATAAGAATTTAAGAGTTGATAAATCCTATCATCAAATCTTATTTACAATGAAATTATTCATAAACAACAAACTGGTTTGAGAACCTCGATTGCATCACTTAACCAGCAATGCAATCACACTTTTTCAATTTTATTTTCACTTAACAAGTGATTTTAAGAGTTACTAATTCGATTGCCATGAACTCTTCACGATTTTAATTACTTTATAAGGGAGTACTCGACTCCAGTATCATAACAAAATGAAAACGACTCACCAAAATACTGCAAAATACTAGCAAGGGTAGCAATGATGTAGACGTCTACACGTCGCTCACTAACAATGCCAGCAGACGAGCCATCAGTTTTGCCACCGTTGCATCTTCTTCGGCTAGAGGTATCTTGAGAGTAGTGACCATCTGTTCCGCAACTGTTCTTCATATCAGGAACGCTTGGTTCTCCCTACAAAGGCTTCAAGTGTTTCTTCTTATCGACCAACAGAAATATTGCCGAGTATATCGAGTTCGGGCAGATGCACATGTGACTCGACGACGGTAGATGTGATTAACGTGGATGAGGGCGAAAAAGTTTTAATTTTGTTACCGCAACAAGATTCTTCATATCCATGACATCTGTGTGTCCACTTGGTCGGTTACATCCCACTTCTGATAACGGCGGGTAGTCCGAAGGGGCTATTACGAAGCCCAAATAGATCGTCCATATCGGAGGACTATCTTTAAAATAACACTGCAGGCGTGTATACCAACGTGGATTTGTTCCATTTTATCACTTTTCATACGAAAATATAACGAGATGAGCGTGATATCGTCAGATGTCTTTACTCCTCGGCGATCGGAAACAGAATGTCTGCCAAAATGGCGGCAATTTGGTTTTTATTAACGAACTGTCAAAGTCAGTGTCACCATTCTAATAAAATTAAGAGTATCGATGATCACGCTCTCTTTACAATCGAGTAATTAAGTAATCGAGTAACTAGCAATTAAAATAAAAGAAACTAAATCAAACGATCTTCGTAATGATGATGCGACATATATATATTCTAATTGATTCTTATAGAAATAGATCGGATATATGAAAAAACTAATACGGGTAAGGTTCATTCACTAACTGGTTTGTGGGTGTGACAACACTACGGGCAATATAAAAATAGCTAGGGAGTGCCAGTGATGAGTATATTGTTCTGTTTTCTCTGTCAGAGCTCAGAGTCTATAAATCTATAACTGGATACTCTCATAATCTGATTTACGAAATATTTGTACGCGAAAATAAATAGCTAAAAAAATGATATTTTATTAATATTGCAAGGGAAATCTTGAGAATTCATCTGCGCGAAATTTAAGAAATTGTTATTTTGAGAGACTTTTTTAGCAAATTATTCTTGTATTAATGTAATATTTTAAATTCAGAGCGTAAACACTTTCCCAGTGTGATATTTTAAACAAAACCGTCATTTCAATGTTACTGTACCGATTTGGTAATTTATTTGATGATTAAACGCTCGCTGGGGCTATGAGGCATCAGAAGAGTGAAATCGAATGAAACAGAAATTCCCTTATAATATATGTTTTGTTTGAGCGGTGCTTTTAAATGAATACTGATAAATGAAAAAGCTTTAAGAGTTTTTCCTACCCTAACCTTTAGGTAAAAATGTAAAAGGAATTTACGATATTAAATCATTAGTAATTTATATTTACAAAAAAACAATCACTGCACTGTAAATTTATGTTTGAAATTTGTTGATATTCGACATACATAGTCGAAATTTATTCGTGTATCACAAAAATGTATCGCACATGCGAGCACATATGGGGAAGGACGCATAAGTTGTTACAGCTCTATATTCTACATTAGAAATTGTAGTTGTACGATATTAAGCAAGGTTTGGCGACTCACCGCAAGCGATCCTTTACCACCACGGGTTCCTAGGGCTAGGCCTGGAAAGGGGTGCGTCGACGCGGCTGCCAGCGAAGATATCCTAAACGGTCTTTAGTCCATCGGCACTGATCCACCGTGCTTCTGAAATGTCCTTATTCTCAATAACAAACAATTCACCAAGCTCAATCAAAAATTAGGTGCGCGCCGTTAGGAATTTGAACTCTCAGTAAAAAACATCCCAAGGATTAGGGGTGGGGATTTGGAACGAAGACAGCTAATCGCCACACCAGTGCATAATAAAAAAAATACCGACAGTTAACATTAACTACTGTTATATTGTCTTTTATAATTAACAAATCACCCGTTTCGTTACGAAACAGTACTGATAAGAGCGTTTTTTATACAGAAGCAAACACGACAAGCAACAATACAATAGACGCTAGCTGGATGCTCGGGATCATTGCTGGGATCATAGGAACCCTTGCCGCTGTTGTCATCATAGCCCTACTGGCGAGGCGGAGGCACCATGGACCCAGGCAATATGAAGGTAATATAATTCAGATAGATAATTACATTGAGTTGACTCCTTGACTTCGGAGGGAGGAACTTACAAGAGATCTTAGTCTTTGCTGTTGTTTTAATGATAATAGTACTAGAATTAAATAATCCGGCACTAATATGATTAAATATGTACTAAATAATAATAAAAATAAAGTAGCTTATACTTAAAAAGCCTAATAGAGCACATATTAAGTTACAAGTCAATGAAAACGACATTTAAAAAGTTACAGGTATGACCTGATTGATAAAACTAATTAACTCTAGTGGACCATTATAGTCGACCTAAACATGTATTTATTCATGGATTTCTTTTTTATTACGATTCATGATATTACCTAATACCTACAGATACATAAAAACAAAGATATGTATATATTATTCTTGCAAAATAAGAAAATTGATAAAATCGTATGTAATTAAAATAATGTTAAGATTTGATATACAAATACATTTGCACATTTGATTCAAATGAAAAAATCCGCCGGTGCCACAATCGAAACATGGATAAAACTATTTACTTTGTACCATAAAAGTTTTCAGCGTTTATAATTTACATAATCACAATACATTTTAAAGAAACTAAGCGTGTTTCACAACACTAGAATACAACGAAATCGCTCAAGTCTTAAATTTAACGGCGAAATTTGCGTCTTTCGCTAAAGGAAGAGTTTATTGTGAACAATTTAAAACCAGTGATTTAACAAATTATCTACCCGGTACGAAAATGAAAATTTAAATAGACTTTATATTACTGAAAATGAAAAGCTGAATATTGAAACGTTGTTTAATTTTAGCTTATGTATTACGGAAAGCCAGTTTATGCAGACATCTTTTGAGACGTGAAATGCTCCTTAATTCTTCGCCCTAGGAGAAAACGCAAAATTGATTTTAGAAAAAGAATGTATACTGTGTTATATTAGATAACCGTGTAGTTCATAAGATATTAATAATTATTATTGTTGAAGTTTCTATTGTTATATTTATAAATACAGCTAAGAATAGAATTGAATAGATTTAAGAATGAAATATATTTAAGCATTATTAAAATTTATTTGTAAACACATTATTTCGTTACATAATTAGGTAAACTGTATAAACATAATTAGGTGATCTAGGTAATCATTACTAAAAAAAATACATCAAATTAAACAACATTAAAACCTAAAATATTATATTAAAATTAAAGAAATTTAATCGTAGTTTAAGTGAATAGAAAAAAAATAAGAACGCAAAACAGTTTATGTACGTACTCTGTTAGTCCTAGCCAACTAGTTAGTTTTCGATTTCGAATTCCTATGCCGTGGAATTCCTAACAATGACTGAACGTTGGTGGTGGAACGTAGAATGCATTAGTAAGTAAATTGTTTCGGTTCGATATAAAGGACTTCGCCAGAACACAAATAAATCGGAATTGCTTCGGCCAGGAAGTTTAGTGGTGAATAGCGGCAGATCTGTTCGCGTGACTGGAATTTCCAACCTCCGCTTTATGTGGAAACCTGAAATAGTGTAACAATAAAGGACTGTAACTGGCCTTTTTAAACTATTCTATAGCTAATAAAGAATTTAGAACCATTCTTCATGATGTATTTAAATGCGAATAAGTGACAAAGAAGTAAAATGAAATAGCCTGGCTTATTATGGACATGGAATGCAGAGTTATAGAGGAGACAAGCGATAAAAGAATAAAGTGTTGAAAAAATCTACAAAGAATTATATTAATATTAACGTTAGGAATATATAAGTAACGATTTACATTTAATAGTACAACTGTCTTAAAGTCGTTAAATTAATATTATCTGTGCACATATATTGACAAAACTTTAATCGAAAGTTTGAGGCCATCATTTATGTTGAGGTACATAGATTTGATTTAAGAAACGTCCAATTTTTTGAGGATTACTTTCGCCACCATTTTTTCTAAACATGCTTTTACCAAAAAACTATGAAAGTTGTCTTTCCGGACAAAAAATGTTTTCTTTTTCTCCAAATGTTTTACTTAGAATATAAAAATTACTTAGAATATAAAAATTGCATTTTTAAAACGAAAAACTCGAACAAAACAAAACGCTTGGATCTGCGATAGTTCCTGTTCCAATACATTTCAAATATAGTTGATTTTCTGCATTTTTCCTGATATTGCAGATACGAGGGTCAAACTGAAAGTTCTTAGAAAATCAAAAACTGATTACATTAGCCAGTTATTAGTTTTATTATATCTTTTCAAAATATTATCCATTCACGTCAATACACCGCTGCATGCGATGGAACCACTGGGAAAAGCACTTTGCCCACTCGTCCTTAGGGGTCTCTTCAATGGCATCGCGATACGCAGCCACCGCTTCTTCAGCATTCATAAACCGCTTTCCTTTAAGTTTTTCTTTAATTTTTGGAAATAAATAAAAATCACAAGGCGCGAGGTCGGGGCTATACGGCGGGTGACCCAGTAATTCAACGTTTGATGTCGCCAAATAGTCGATCGTTCGCTTGGCGGTGTGCGACGAGGCGTTGTCGTGGTGAAGGAGGATCCTACTGCGAGGTCGTTTCTCTCGAACTTTTTCCAAGACAAGTGGCAAACAATTGGTAGTGTACCATTCTGCAGAAACTGTTTTTTGATCCTCTAACACAATTGTTGCAAAATGACCTATCCTTCCAAAGAACGAGGCCACCATTTTTTTTCCCGCACTTCGATCTCTCTTCACTTTAGTTGGCAACTCCTCGAAAGGAAACACCCACTGAGCAGATTGTCTTTTGGTTTTAGGATCATAACAGTAAATCCAGCTTTCGTCACCTGTTAGTATGTCGAACACAGCATTTGAGTCACCTCCGTTAAATCTTTCAATCATTTTACGACACCAATCCACACGATGGAGTTTTTGAGCCTCAGTCAAATTATGAGGTATCCACCGGGCGCAAAGCTTCCTGACCGCTAAATGTTCGTGGAGGATTTTGTGCACTTGACTCATACCGATGCCTAAGCTTGTCCGAATCTGTTGATAGGTCACTCTTTTGTCAGTCTCTATCATACGCCGCACAACACAGATGTTATCTTCAGTCGTCGCCGTAGAAGGCCGTCCCTCACGTAAATCATCAGTGAGATTAGTGCGACCACGTTTAAACTCATTAAACCAGTTGTAAACAGTCGCACGAGATGGGGCTTCATTGTGAAAGGCCAATCGTAGTCTATCATAACTTTCTTGTTGACTTAAATGACATCGAAAGTCATAAAAAATCATTGCACGAAAATTTTCTCGTGTTAAATTCATGATGACGTGACACAGACAATTTTCAATTTGCCGCCAAATCGTAAAACAAATGACAAATGAATGAAATATATACTCAGTAATATTGGCAAAGAGTTATATTTTCAAATTTTAGAATGATTTTTTTATTATATTGTTTATAAGTGGCCAGTTCTAAGAACTTTCAGTTTGACCCTCGTATTTCGTCACTCTCTTACGACATTTTTATTAAGTTTTCTTCCACAGACAGCAAGGGTGGCCAGCGTTTTGTATTTATTAAAATTCTGAATTCGTGGGAGACCGTACATTTTCAGAAATGTTCAGTGAAACTTCAAAGTGTCGCATGCTTGAATAAAAATTCAGCGAATTCACTCCCAACATCAGTATTGCTAAAATTTGATATTACGGATGAATATGTAACAAGTTTGAAGTTTCATAAGAATTTAGTTGACGTTAAAGAGAATGTCCAATAAAAATTACTAACTTTCAGTTTAATTTGTACAAATAAATAATGTCCAATAAGCCGTAAAAAAATAACAACACTACTGTTTAAAATTTTGATATATATAGAAAAAAATTGTGAAGTTACCTCTAAAATTCGCTGCACATACGCTGTTACTCGTGACGGCTTAGTTAAAATATTTTTGAAGAACAACACGTCAGTCATCTTCTGTCCCTTTCTAACTCAATGAGGCACAATTAGATAGATATTGACAGTGTTTTGTCTTTCTTTTCAGCCTATACACGTTTGTAGAGTTCACCATCAACGATTAACCATCAGTTTTGGTTAAGGACTCTAAGTTATATTACAGTAGTATAATAAGACATTTTTGCTTATGGTGTTACACACAAAAATATTAATAGTGCCAGGCTAGTGCCAGGTACATTTTTGAACCTATAGCCTATGGATGCCGTGCTAAATGGTCATTTCAATATCGACAAACTATCTATAACTCCTTTTCACTACTATTCACATTTGTAGAATCCATTACTGGGAAAGCGGTGAATCACTGATGTGTCAGCTCTTTTATCTAGAATTATACCGGCTTTGAGTTTATTAAAATAAAAAGTCTCAAATATTACGCTAAAATAAAACAAAGAACTTTAACTTTTATATGAACAATGAGTTTTAAACTAACAATTTTACTGTAACTGATGTTTCGTAATAAAAAGAAGAGTAAACAATATTAATTAATAAATGTAAGTAAACATGCAGACTTTTTGTTAAGATTACTTGATGTCGTAAGATGTACAAAAAATGTTTGTACCTGTGCGCTCTAATAACAAACATAATCAATCCGTGATAGCGGGTATCATAATGTCACAGTGATTTTTTTAAATTGATTATTCCAGAATTAAATTATGATTCTAAATATAACGTTTTATTTCGAAGTCAGCCTAAACGGTGATTTCATTGTTGAGTCTCACGTAAATTTGTTATTTGTATCACAAAATGAATAAAACGGTATAAAGTTCAATAAATAGACTAAAAAACAAAATGGTAAATAATATATTAACATGAGCTAGTTTTATCATATCAAATTACATATTTTACATATTCATAAGTAACTATTATTAATGTTTTCTGAGATATTGAATTTTGTCGGGCGGATTAAATACCAATTGTCTTTAAAATATTTTTGGTTATAAATGTACGTGTTTACGGTGATTATAATTTTTCATTTTTGTTTCTCTCTAGCTCCGATGCAAACTGTAAAAGGATATAAGACAACAATACATAACACTAATCATTCTCCGATGCAACCTGACGACAAGAATCCTGACGTAGTACCTCTAGGAAAAGGTTAGTATTTTTATTATAAATAAGTATTGTTATGTTACGAAATATTAACGGAAAATAGCATTACCATTATAGTCTTCTAAAAGTCTGAAATAAGTCATTAATAATATTGTTTCCAGTCCAAAGAATGGTTACTTACTATATATCGACCAAAGTCGTTTAGCGTTTATATATTTACTACCGAATATTATAATAACAGCTATTTGAACTTATCGTTAAAGTCACGATACATTTTAATAACATATTGGCTTATACGAAATAATAAAAAGGATTAATATAGATAGTATAGATTATAGGAAAGATAAAGATAGTCTTGTATCCTATAATTCAGTGGTTTTTCTTGGGTTTTTTCGGTTATTTTGCAATCGGGTTTGACAATATTATAACATTTTGACCGGTTTGTTCAACAGAATGATTGCTTCTTTACCGTAATTGAAGACAACGAGTAATAATTAACGCACATCCTGAAAGTAATTTGTTTAAAATCAGATACTGATTTAATTTCAAAAACTTCTAATAGAGGCTTTATTTTTCAGCTGTAATCATTACAGCTGTCACAATATCTGCGATTGGGTTATTATCATTATGTTCTGGTGGTTGAACTTAATTGTATGACTTCAGGTTGACATCAATAGGAGTTTTTGTATCTAAACCACTATTATGGTTTTTTAATAGTGAAAGCACAGAAGCTATCTCCTGCGCTATTTTTGTCAATGCTTCTCTTAGAGTATTAAAATGTCGCCTTTCATACCACTCTTTACAAAATTTCGCGAATGTTATCTGTCCCTGAGATTCTAAAGCCCCTATTTTACTGACATTTTGGGATGGTATAGCGCAACTTCCGCACTATCGTTGCAGTTAAGACACGAGAACGATTTTCAAGGCACTAAAATATTAAAGTAAGATAAGGTGGGTTTAAAAGTAGGTATAAAAATATATTTATTTTTTTGTGTTGTTAGATAATATTATTATTTCCTTTAATTTGCAAGCTACATTGGAATTAACACTAAAGTTTTAATTCCAGTGTAGCTTTAACCGACCTATATTGAATTTTTCACCATAATAGAATATTAACAATGAAGAATAATTATTAACCGACTTCAAAAAAGGAGGTTCTCAATTCGCCTGTATCTTTTTGTTTTTTACTGGGTGGACTGATTTTGATGATTTTTTATTTGAAAGCTAGTGCTTTCCGTGTGGTCCCATTTCAATTTTCAGCATAGTATTTGTCAAACTTAGGAGAAGATTTTAGGTATATTAACAGACTAAAAAAATGTAGGTTCGCACTTCATCACGGTTTTGACGCGGTTTTCAGAAAAGTATTTTTAGAGTTACGCATTATATAAAAATTACTAAAAGGCAATAAATGAAATAATAGAAAATAATTTATTTCAAAAGCGACTTATTCAAGAAAATGCTGTTAAAATCGGGCGGAGGTTTCTGTTAATAACCTACATTAATTTATAAACGCCCGACTTCGATAGCATTTTCTTGAATAAGTCGCTTTTGAAATAAGTATTATTTTTCACTTGTTTAAGTTTGAATTCTACCATATAAAATTACAGAAAATTGCGATAGTTTTTAAAAACAAAAGTGAAACCTAACAGATTTCAACTGCTCGCGAGATATTGAGAGACCACCGGAGCCGCCGCCTTACGGAGCGGTCGTGTCTCCACCCGTTGGTTCTTCAAGGAGTGTCCACAGTCTCAACCAGCATGAAGCCCGATCAACCACGCCACACACGCCTAACACTCCGGCTTCTGATGCCCAGGTATATATTCTTTATTTCCGCGAATAAACACTTCGATCTATTAAAATATTAATTAATTTTAAACATTATCAGCGCTACTTATAAACGTGGTATAAAATGTTATACCGAGAATTAGTGCAGAATACGCAAAATGTCAACTTATAAACTCGGTGTAACTTATGCTTAGCATAACCTGGATGTAACGTTCTAACAAATCTTATTCCACCGATATTCCGCCCGTCACCGTAGTATAACTTTGGTGTAGCAACGGATTTGTCAAATGACATTTTGATATTGTTGATGCTTTATTGATATTTACCAAATATTTACCGTATTAGATAATTTTTAATAATATTGAAACGTGTATTTATTGAAATATGGCGTTTAGACAATACAAAAAGTGGAAGAAATTAATAATTTGATCAATCGATCGCAAATGTTTAGGGCAAGAAGAAAATCTAAAATATTTAGAACTAGAAACGATACCTTCCTTTTATACAATGACGACGAATTTCGTATAAAATATCGTTTTTCCAAAGACGGCGTCTTATTGTTAGTACGTTTATTTGGAAGTGAGCTATATTGCAGATACTGATAACGCTGAGATACTACTTTTACTTGCCATTTTGATATTAAATTCAAATTCAAATTATTTATATTAGTTTATAATTGAATAAATAATTTACAATAACTTGCACAAAATCACCCGCGTCTTGTTCAAGGAATAACCACATGTAACATCTATCAACCAAACGTTAAACTTGCGTTAAACTCAGTGATATTTGACACTTCAACAGACAAAATACTTTCTTTTTTTCGTTTTTGTCTATAAAATGCGGCGTTGCCGCTACGTGCATCGAACATAAGGGTGGAATACTTACGCCGAAGATATACCAAGTTTATAAGTCAAAAGATATTCTTCCGTTATTATGAGCATATACCGAGTATAACTATTCTTGGTATAACGATTGAATAACCATAGTTTAATGAATTTTTATAAGTAAGGCTGTATAAGTATAAATAAATATAATTTACTGTTATATTTTAATTCAGCGGAAAAAATATACTTTGAGATTGACTAACCTTATTTATTCAACAAGTCTAGGTGTCTACGAGACTTCCTTTTTTGGCTTCAACATGTTTCCCAATTGACACTTTATCTGTAAAGAAGTGACGCTTAATGAAAAAATTGGAAGTCACAAGAAATTCTAATACACACGTCATAATATAAAAAAACCCAACCCACAACCAAGAAGTCACGTTGCTCGTCAACTGATGTATTTATTTTATTTTCACAGAGCATCGGCACGCTTGCGGACGATCGTCGTAGCGTAACAAGCGGTACTCTGTCAAGACGGAGAGAGGTGGTCACGACTAGAACACCTCTTTTAGCCAACGCTAGGGAAAGCTGTGTTTAGAAAATTTTTCTATTCAACTAACTTTGTGTTAAGGGAAACATTACGAATGAATTATTGCCATTCATTCATGATCATCTCTTTAAACGATATCCAGCAATCGTTGGCCTATTTTATTATACGATATATATGTCGCTTATCAGTAATTCCATGTCAGTTGACACATTATTTCTATGTTAAACATGTAAGTAATGTGGAATAATCGACTTAATTGTGTGGTTGTTTATATAACGTGTATTTCATATTTATACCTTTATTTCAATTTATTTTATATTTTAAATACATAAGTGAATTTTACATTGCTAGAAACTCCTTTGACATTACTTTTACCTCACATCAAATTAAAGTATCAACATTATGATTTAGCATTAACACATCGAATTAAATAAAAAAGACTGTTTCAATTGTTTCCTTTAATGTAAAGTTATAAACGAAGTATGTGTATGTATAGATCACTTTGATAGATAAAATTATATATTTTAAAATAGGATACCGATTCACAAAGAGAAATATTAGCAAACTAAGGAGTAGTTAGATAAATAAAAATGTGGTTAACGAGCCGTTTGTGAATTTAACTCGTAATAAAAGAGAAACCTCTTATAAATAACTTATTAATAAAAAAATACTTTGTGCGCTTTTATTTAAATAACTTAAATTGATTTTTCTAACTCGGGTGATAGAGGTAAAATATAGACATTTATCTTTGTCGAGCGGGCTTCCTCGGCCCACCCATAGTGCTAAATCTATTCATCTGTCAGTTTGCGCTCCATGCATTTAACCGTTCGATAGCATACCACACCAGTTGGCCAAAGGGGAATTCCCAAGTTTCTCTTGTACTATCAACTTATGCATTTAAATATTACAATGACAAGAAATACGTTGCTATCGGTGTAATGTATTTAAAAATATCAATAGATGATTCGTATGTAGACCTGATCAATTATATATATAATTAAGTTTTTTTGGGAGTTTTGAGTGTTCATTTTGACCGTATAAATATTCTCCAAAGATATATACAGAGAGATATACAGTTTTTAAACAACATCTAAATCTAATCAGTGTATTGAATTTGAGAAAATGTGAGCGTACTCTGACAGAATATCAACAACGTGTTTTGTTAAGCAAATCCTTATTTTTGTATATTTAATAAGAAAACTAAAAATCATCAAAACCATATCAGATCATAAAGATTTTTTCTTTTTGTTGTAAGGCTATAATAAGTGTGACGATGTTATAATTTTCTGTAAGCTGGTATTTGATTACTTAAATAAATATAAATCTATGAATAGATCAAGATTTTCTATACGATATTAGCTTTTCATACATGAATATTGACTGTCATTGTTATGATTTTTATCAACACTGCAATGTATACTGTGTCGTAATAGGTATGTGAAAAAAAAAAAGATTATTGTTACTGTTGTATAATTCACTTGGTTAATAATTCCATTCCATTAATAATTCCACTTGGTGGAATTATTACAAAAAAAATAAAAACCATAATTTAATGATATAAATGTTATAACTAAAATTTCGTATTTAAAATTCTTCTGTGTTTGAAGTTATATATACGAGTATAATATTCATTTCTAAATTTAAGTTTCCTTTTCGCAAACTAAAATCAAAGTGTGTTTAATGAAGTTTCTTATTGTAGTGAATGCAAATGAATATTTACTTATTAATTTAAAATATGAATATTATTACTTTAAACACTTATACTTGAAACATAATTATTAAAAAAAATGTGTAAATAATTCGTTTCAAACAGATAAGGGACAATAAAATATTACTTGGAGAAAATAAAAATAATTTTATAATTATCTGTTTACAACACTACTATAATGCACTGCACTACTAAAATTTTACACTTCAGTAAATGTAAAAAATGTACCCTTAAAAACTTGACATTGAATGAATGTGTAATGTAAATATAATATTAATAAAAAAAACTTTTTAAAATCGTATGAATAACTGTCGTAAAGTTTTAATTATTTTAAAAGTTAATGAATTCACTGTGATGCTATAAAAATATTGATAAATTGTACTATTGTCTTGCTAGTACGTTTATAAAATGTAAATATTCTTATTAATATATACATAGGTAATATAAAAAAAAAACTATTTATGTTAAGATGACACTGATCTTTTTTATTATTTGGGTTACTAAGTAAAAATGTTAATAATATAAATTATAATTATTATGAACAATAACAATGTTGAAGGTTAATTTGCAATTTATTATTCATTTTATTTGAAAAGAAAAAAATAGTTTATTAGTCAATCTGTAAATATAAAACTTATCAATTACTATGATTGATGTTAAGTTTAGTGTTACTTTATCGTAAATTGATTTATGTCATTATTTCAAAGACTTCTTCGACATATCGTTAAAATAAGAGATATGTGTAAAATTTCTTGAAGTAAATAAACTTGCCTGTCTGCAAACTGGAATATCGTATTTTTTATCATATTGATTTATCTTTATCACACAAGCGTGTTATACTCCATTACGAATTATAAGAGGGATTATTCAGATTCAGTAGGATAAACTTTTGATATATTTTATCCTTTATCACTTTTATCCTTTTGAGGACAAACTTTTGATCCGAATATGATCAAAGGAAATTTCGTATACGCTCAAAGTGCGCCAAAAATAAAAATATAATAAAATAAAATATAACAGCAAAACTTACAGTATCATCGGGAAGTGAGCAGGAAGACACAACAAAAAGAACAAAAGCAACATGACATATATCAAAAACTCAAAAGAAATAAAAATAAATTAAACCTTTTTACACAGTCCCATTTGATAGCCAGTTCGTAACACATTTTCACAAAAAAAAATCGAGTAACTTTTTTTTCACTAATTCGCCAGAAAAATTCTGACTGTATTAATTGAGCAAAGGAAACATTTCGCGTAGATATCAATTTTAATACTCTAGATAGGAAGATCAAAGATTCTTATGTGAAATACGATGTTCGTAAACTCACAAAGAAAATACATTCAATCAAGCCGGAAACTAAGAGGGTGTTGAAATCAATCGACTAATTTCTTGTGAGAGGCACGTAACCTATCTCACATTGTCGCATTGAAGAAGGAGGCTGTCTGTGATGCGTGATAAGAATTTTTATCTCTTTCTCTATCAGTTTATATGAGCGGAAAAGAAAATGTACACTACGGAATAAGAGGCGACACTTTTGCATGTGCATTTTATATTGATTTCTCCATCCATTAAGACGATACCATTAACACATAACCCTTACATACAAATACAAAAATAGTTATCTTCCTTATCATGACTATAAATTAAACAAAAACCTAAGAAGTCTATGGTGTTTAAACTTCAATATTTGTACAAACTTGCGGTTCTTGTGGTGTAGTTACATCCAGAGTCCAACTAGTTCGTGTCCATTTTTTCATAATATAGTTAAATACGGCTTAAACTTTTCTGAAAAAAAAAATTATTACTTTTTTGCAACGTGAATTACATTTAACACAGTTTATTCCCCAATCTCGGAAAGGAATAAACTAATTTATCGATTATCAAAATTATACCATCAACAGCACGTCAGATGAAATGAAACTGACAAACCCCTTTTGAATTTTAACCTAAATCAATTGAGGGTAGAGTTAAAAATTAACTGCTAAAGTTCAATATACTGTGGTATTCTGGTATCATAATACAAATTAAATCGTAATGAAATGCTGTTTTCAATACATAATATTTTTCTGTGGTTTAATATTGTTAAACAATAGGAAAAATATTGTCTCAATATTAACGGAATAGTTTTTTAAACGATTATAATACCTTTAAAGATAACTTTTTTAATTATTAGATCTATTCAATTACTGAGTACATAATATGTTTGGTAAGTATTCATCAATTTGTGACAAAGTGGTTAGATAGCTGCTATGTACTGATATAACAGACTTGGATTACATTCGATTTCACAACTCTTTACGGGAGAAGGACTGCATTTCTTGTACTTTTTTTGCATGCATGTCTTGTACTTTTTTGCACATGTTGTTTGTCATGGATATGTTTTGCTCTTGTCACACAATGTAATTAATGTACACACTTTTACTTACTATGATGTGGTTTATTCGCTGAATAAATATATAGAATTATTATATTCAACATATAGATTTCTAGTTATAATATAGTTTAAAGAAGGAAGTAATAAACATAATGGCGTCTTTATTTATTGTATGCAATAATAACTAACCAATTCTATACATATCGGTTCTGCTATACCGGCAACATTTGTCGTGACGTTTTGCATAAAAAATTGTGGTGCAAGATTAAGCCGAATTCGGCCAAATTTATCATTTCATCGGTAAGTTACCTATGTGTCTGTGTTTAACTGTTGACAATAGCCTTTTGAATTTGCAGATAGTGGTAAAAAAGTAATTAAAATGATTAAAAGTAAAGTTTACCGCGGGAAGAACATACACAGTGAAACTATTTTTATAATATAGGTTTTTAATAATTTAGAAATACAAATTGCTCGAAATGGATTAGTTAACAAACATCACCATACCCATGCCATGTGAAGTGTAGTAAAATAGGAACTTTCAGAAAATGGAAGTTGATTTAAGATTTATTGATAATATGAGTACATTTTTATGTTTTCACACTGTCCCAAAATAAACACAAAAAAAATTGGTTAGAGGTCATTGGCAAAGAAAATATAAGATTAGATCTACGAGTTAAATAAATTGACGTGTAAATTAATACTCAAATTAATGCGAGTAAATAAATACAATATATACAAATGAATTTTCTTTTTATTTTAGCAATACATATCCCAAATCATATCCCTTTCAATATCCCCATTGCACATGATACTGGTGATATTTAAATATATAAACTGTTTTTGCCCTGGAAGGAAACTGCTTTAAAACTTAAACAGAAAATAAATTGTCATTAATTAAAATGTAAATAATATTTTTTGTTTGAGCAAAAATATTTAAGGTAGTTTCCCTCCAGGGAGACTACTTT